GCGAGGAGTCCTGTGGCACCTTATAGACTAACTGAAGTGTTGGAACATGTCATGCATCTGACGAAGTGGGTCTTTGCCCATGAAAGCTTATGCTCCAACACTTCAGTTAGTCTATAAGGTGACACAGGACTCCTCGCCGCTTTTGCAGATTGAGACTAACACGGCACCCCCTCTGATACTTGACACAAGGGAAGAGTGTAGCGAGGAGTCCTGTGGCACCTTATAGACTAACTGAAGTGTTGGAACATGTCATGCATCTGACGAAGTGGGTCTTTGCCCATGAAAGCTTATGCTCCAACACTTCAGTTAGTCTATAAGGTGACACAGGACTCCTCGCCGCTTTTGCAGATTGAGACTAACACGGCACCCCCTCTGATACTTGACACAAGGGAAGAGTGTATATAAGTTGTTAAAGTGTAATGTGCTTTGACACTTTAAAGCAGGGGTGGTGAACCTTTTGTGTGTCAGGGGTTGCTGACCCACAGAAAAATCAGTCGGCGGTCGCGCACAAGTGAGAAGGAAAAAACCCCAAACAAACCCTCATTGATGTGGCCCCCGACTTAGAAACAGAAAGATACTCTCTACATTTCCCTCGCACACCAGAGCCTAAGGGGGCCTAGGTTAGTAGATTTTCTGTGTTCCAGCCCCCCAGAAGGGTGACGGGGGCTGAAGCACCAGCACAGGTTCCCCAATGCTAGGGGAGGAGCCCTGAGCCTCAGGGGCTGGATCCGAGGAAGCCTGGGGCCGCATCCAGCCCCTGGGCCTTAGATTCCCCACCCCTGCTTTCAAGGAATAATAAACCTTGCTATTCCTCTGAACTGTCCAGGAGAAGGCTGGTGATTGCAGAACACAGGTTTGGGGGAAATTTAAGATGGGGAGATTTTTAGGATCACCTTGCTGGCTGTAATTAAGGCAGGGGGGAGTTAGAATGGGGCTTGGGGTCTGTAAATAGGCTGCTGGTGTCAGTGTTGCAGAACCAGAGCTGGATGCATAGCACACAGGCATTCAGGACGTGACCTGCATGTTTGTTGCTGTGAGTGTCCCAGGCTGGAAGCTACCATAGCAAGTCATTGTGAGGGTTACGGGATAGAAGTAATACACCCCTCACTGGTCTGCATTGTATCCCCAAAACTTTACAACCTCGCTACTTTTCTGTTACACGCTTATTGTAAATGGAATCACCAGATAAACTCTTTTGGACTGTTCCAGTTTTTGGAATCCCTGATCAATGCAGAAAAAGCTTTATTGGTGTATCTTCTTAGCTTAAGAAGACACATTCATGCTCAAATGTTCATCCCCCGTCTATCTCACTCTCCCAGAGATAGTGTTACAAAATGTCTTTGAAAGAACCAGGCATCTTAAACATCAGAACTAGAAGCAGTCGGCCTGACTGAAAAATGATCCTACATCTTATGGCATCTAGTAGGCAAAACAAAATCTGGAAGCCCGAATAATACATTCAGAAGAAAGCAGGGAGCCCTGATCCAGACTGACAAAGGGAATCTTCCAGAAGTTAAAATGCTGTGTGAAGGGAGAGATGCTTCAAAGGCATCTCTCGTAGAAATAACTTATGCTCAGATAATGGCAAGCTGGCCAGAACATGTGTTCTTGGTCCACAGGTGAGAGATAGTAAAACTAATTTTGGTACTGAGAAAATATTTGCATCATGTGTGTTTGAACTGACAGTTGAAAGCAATATCTTATTATCAGGGCTGAAATGTGGATCTAATGAACAGTATTTTTTCCATTTTCCAGGGGGCTGTATGATATTTTTGTAACAAGAGATAGCCAGACTCGTTGCGTCGGTCGTTACGACAATCACGGCAGTTTTGGGGAACTGGCCTTGATGTACAACACTCCTAGAGCTGCTACCATTGTTGCCACAACAGAAGGATCCCTTTGGGGACTAGTAAGTATGGAAAATTACTCTGTTGCATTAAGTATTAAACATGAATGCATCATGTCCATCGGAAGTTACTTTTTCCCAGTATGTGTCTGTGTGCAAATAGCTTTTTTAGCATAAGAACATAAGAACGGCCGTACAGGGTCAGACCAAAGGTCCATCTAGCCCAGTATCCTGTCTACCGACAGTGGCCAGCACCAGGTGCCCCAGAGAGGGGGGCCCGAAGACAATGATCAAGTGATTTGTCTCCTCCCTCTTCTCCAGCCTCTGACAAACAGAGGCCAGGGACACCATTTCTATCCCCTGGCTAATAGCCTTTTATGGACCTAACCTCCATGAATTATGTAACTTCTCTTTAAACTCTGTTAGGCCGTGTCAAGACTCAGGGGTTTTTTCGGGAAAAGTAGCCTTTTCCCGAAAAAACTTCCCCTGCGTCCAGACTCAAGCCGCGTTCTTTCGAAATTATTTTGAAAGAACGCGGCTTTTCTTTCGATGGCGGTAAACCTCGTTTCACGAGGAAGAACGCCTTCCTTCGAAAGTTCCTCTTTCGAAGGAAGGCGTTCTTCAATGTAAAGAGGCCGTCTTCGAAAGAGAGCATCCAGACTCGCTGGGTGCTCTCTTTCGAAAAAGCGGCTTGCTTTTCAAAAGTACTGCTTGCAGTCTAGACGCTCTTTTTCGAAAGAGGCTTGCAGTCCAGACGTAGCCAAAGAAAGTGGGGATCAATGGTTCTCTGCAGGTAGGACATGCAGTAACGGGCTTGATTCGCAGTGAGGCAGGGTTAGGTGAGATGGCAGGAAAAGCTTTTTAGTGAAGCTCTGGAACAGGTGTCTAAGGGAGGTTGTGGACCCCCTGTCACTGCAGAGCTTTCAAAAGAGAGGGGACACATCCCTGACGGAGCTGGTCCAGGGTTACTTGGTCCTGCCTCACTGCATGGGTATGGACTTGATGCCATTTTCAGATGCTTTTGAACCTGACATTTCTGTGATGCCTCCGTCTCCCACCACACACCCTCACACACCTTTACGGCTGAGGTGCTGGGCGGAGCTGAGCTGGGATCTGGTCACCTGGTTGTCACTGGCCTTAATCTCGTACCCACAGGAGTAATTCCCGAAGCTGCCCCCGGACACCACATGGTCATAGTTGTAGGTGATCTTCTCCTCCAAAGCCCTCTGGGATGAAATCTCCTCCCCGTCCTTGCAGAAGACGACACGGGTGGCTGGGAACTGGGAGAGCACAGAGCACTGGAGCTGCACGGAGTCCCCTGGCCAGGCTGACGTCTGGCTGAGGTAGAGGATGGGGGTACGGAGAGCACCTGTGGAACGGGATGAGTCGGAGCTGTCAGTGGGTGTGGGTGGTGTCTGGTGCAGTCAGTGGGGCAAGAGGTCCCTGGAAGGGGGGCTGGGCCATGTCTCAGATGGAGGCTTTGATCCCAGCCCAGCTGGGCAGAGGGTGCGCAAGCTGTGACGTAGTGGGGGTGCCTTGCTAGGGCTGTGGTGACCTTGCTAGGGCTGTGGGCGACCTCTCCTGTCTGTAGCAAGACCCAGATGTCCAAGTAAGGACCTTCCCTCTTATCCCTGGCAATGTAATTTACACAAGAGCCTTTGGAGAGGGACCTTGTCAAAGGCTTGCTGAAAATCTAAGTATACTATCTCCACTGGATCCCCCTTGTCTGCATGTTTGTTAACCCCTTCAAAGAACTCTAATAGATTAGTAAGACACGATTTCCCTTTACAGAAACCATGCTGACTTTTGTCCAACAAATTATGTTTTCCTACATGCCTCACAATTTTATACTTTACTATTGTTTCGACTAATTTGCCCGGTACTGAAGTTAGACTTACCGGTCTATAATTGCCAGGATCGCCTCTAGACCCCTTTTTAAATATTGGTGTCACATTGGCTACCTTCCAGTCATTAGGTACGGAAGCTGATTTAAAGGATAGGTTACAAACTACAGATAATAGTTCAGCAATTTCCCATTTGAGTTCTTTTAGAACCCTTGGATGAATGCCATCCGGTCCCGGAAATTTGTTAACATTACATTTTTCTATTTGTTCCAAAACCTCCTCTAATGACACTTCAATCCGGGACAGTTCCTCAGATTCATCACCCAGAAAGGACGGTACAGATTTGGGAATCTCCCTAACGTGAAGACTGAAGCAAAGAAATCATTTAGTTTATCTGCAATGGCTTTATCGTCCTTGATTGCTCCTTTTATAGCTCGATCATCTAGGGGACCCACAGGTTTTTTAGCAGGCTTCTTGCTTCTAATGTACTTAAAAAACATTTTGTTCTTTCTTTGAGAGTTTTTTGGCTAGCTGTTCCTCAGAATCTGATGTTAGAGAGCAGTATCTATGATGGTTTTCACTTGAGTTTATTTTTCTCATGTTTAAGAGGTAAAACAGAAAATAGCCTTATTAAAATAAAAAGGTGTAAATCCAGTTTGACAGAGAGAGATTACAGCCCAAACAGCCTTCAAACTTTTTTTAAAAAGTGATTTTTTTTGTAAAACAAATGCTAGAACACTAGGACCTTGAGCTAGTTTGGAGTTTCTATCAGGGGAGTGCAGCTATTGTATACCCTGGACTGAATATCGGTACTCCTCTACCTGGGAGTTTTGATTGGCTATTTAAATGTCATTTTCATCTTTAAGGTCACTTAAGTCCTCAGTATCAAAGTATCTATTTTGGAATTAGATCTTGTATTCCTTTATTTCATTTCATCAGTTTTATTCTATTACAGTATATGTTTATTTTTCTGTCCACAATAATTGAATACTAGGTACACTAAATTAACTTAAGGGGTAAAGGATTGAAAATGAGATTTAAGGAGTAAGCTAAAGAAACTTAAATACTTCCATGTTGAACAAAGCTACACATGCCATTTTAGTGAGGCAGTTTCCACGTGTTTGGTTTTAGGATATATATAAAAAAAATGATGTTGAGAAAGCACTCATTCTGCTCACTTCAGGCATTGGAAATTTCAAATGTTAATAGAAAGTTATTTTTAGTATCTGTTTCTTAGTTTATTCATGCTGAGAAGTTGTACTTATCTTCCATAACGCAAGTAGGTTGATCTGAAGAAAATGAACATAGCTCCCCTTTTAAATACCATGAAACATGTGGTAACAGGACTATCAGTGGCAGGCTATCAAAATAATGTTTTCATAAATGGAACCAAAATCTTCCAGGAAGCATCCCAAATCCACATGATGTTCTTGAATGTTAAAGTTTTCATGGGGATCTGTACATTAGCAGATATACAGGTATGTGTGAAAAGATAAATATTCAACCATATGCCTAGCAGCTACTAATATGCAGTGATACTTTAACTATGAGCAGGAAAAACTTCAGCTCCCAACTTAAATGATTTTCAGATAATTGGAATTAGTTGAGCATAGTGCTCAAAAATACTCTCTGACCAAACTACAGAAAAGTCAACATTAACACCTGAAAAGATGAGACTACCCAGACTGAAAACAGCTTTCTGAAGTAGTTAGAAACTCTCACATATTCAGTTGAGCATTTCAGTCTATGGGAAAAAAAAAGTGACTGTCTTCACAGTACTACTGCAGTAGCAGCTCTACCTATTGCTATCCTCATTCTAGCTACATAGGAACACTGAGATGAATAAAAGCAGCCGCCTAACACAGTCACTCCAAGTATTCCCAGCTTCTTCATCTACATTTTCCCATTCTCACACAGATATAGCTTTTAAAGCTAACACTACAGCTGAACATTAGAATGCTAGTATTCCTGAGAGAAATGTAGCGGTGTTAGTCTGGTGTAGCTGAAACAAAAAACAGGACTATGTAGCACTTTAAAGACTAACAAGATGGTTTTCATAAATGGAACCAAAATCTTCCAGGAAGCATCCCAAATCCACATGATGTTCTTGAATGTTAAAGTTTTCATGGGGATCTGTACATTAGCGGATATATAGGTATGTGTGAAAAGATAAATATTCAACCACATCTTGTTAGTCTTTAAAGTGCTACATAGTCCTGTTTTTTGTTTCAGTACTCCTGAGGAAATTCTGCACCAAAATATTAAAAATTCGGAGTAAAAAAAAAAAATTCTGAGCACAATATTTTTCAATTCTGCCAATTATATATGGGGCTTGATGGCTGGGCAGGGCTTGACACAGAGTCTAATGAAGGGGATTGAGATCTGGCAGGGAGATCTACATATGGTGGGGCCAGACTCTTTGGGGTTGGGCAGATGGAAAGCAGCTCCCTGTGACCCCTTTTCCTCCGCAAGTTAAGAGTGATGGTGGCAGGAAGTGGGCTGGGAAAGGCATGCAGAGCCCAGGGTGGAGAGAATTCTGGGGGTGGGTCTGACCTGACCCCAAACACTCCTAGCAAGGGAAGAGCAAATCTCATCTGCCCCGACCCAGCTGGTTGCTCTGGGCATCCAAACCTACACAGCTGCATAGATTTCAAACCTTTTAGAAGCTCCTTCAAGCAAACAAACCAACCAGCCAAACACAAGCTCAGCACACAGCAAATAACCCCCCCACCCACCCACACACACACAAACACACACTACAGATAGCCACTTACCACAAGGGTTCCGTTTTTACTCCTCTTTTACCTGGAGAACTCCCTCTCCAAACTCCCTGTTAGCTGCTCCTGGTTGCAAGGTTCGCATCATGATTTATTATGTCAACCCAGAGTTGCATTGTGCAAATGCTTTTTACCACTTCCCTAAAACTCGAAATAAACCGTAACTCCATATCTATGAGTGTGTTCCATTGTATCACTTCACAGGTGCTGCAGTATAAAGCTTTTGCTAGTTAAATTTTGTTCGTACTACAGAGGGATAATGGGAAGATAACCAATGCATGTATTTTATAGTATGAGAGCAGCTCCCACCCTTCTAGGACTTGAAGACAAGAAAGTTAACTTCCTAGTGGCTTCCCCTCTCTGAGGAACAGCTGTAATTCTCTTTCTCATTGACCATGGACAAACTAGCTTTCATGATGTTTGTGGTCTCTGCTCCATATTACTGTAGAAGAGATCCCAGGGGGAGCACAACTTTGAGAGCTGTTCCCACATCACATCTTGGGCTGATTGACCATATTGCTGCTTTTGTTTCTGGGTTAGCTTGTCAAAGGTGACTTTTTAAGAGATCAGAGCTAACTCTGTGTTGCTTTTCCTACAGTATTTGTGCAAGGTCTGCCTTCATAGAGCTCTGTGTTACTCATCTGCTACGGTTCACTTCATAAAATGACTGTAATTCTGCAGAAGCCTTCGGAGTTTGTAGTACAGTACACCTGGCTCTCAGCAACTATCAGTAGAGGTTGGCAGTGCATTATGACCTTGATTATATGCCTGATAAGCTATTACGCACCAGTATGTTTGTGCAGTCTCCATGCACACAGAGAAGACTGACTTCTCTTTTTGTTGGCAGTTCATAAAGGATAGGAAAGATTCTGATAAGCTAATTTGGGAGTAGTGTGAGGATCTAATTAATTTCCTTAACAAAACTGGCTACATAATGTCAAATAAACCACATGCACATGTTGCTTATTAGAAAAATCAAACAAGAAGTTGCGTTTTTATTCCAGTTACCTTTTAGGTGAAATGAAGTTGATTTTCCTGATTTTAATTGTTGGTTTCCCAGAATTACTTTGCCTGCTCTCTGCTTTTTTTTTTTTTTTTTTACCATACTATCATCACTCTGAAGTAGCACTGTCTCAAGCGCTTCACTTCTCAGCTACTTATTAAACCAAAGCAATGACACATTCTCTTCTTCCACTTAGGAGTTTTTAGCTACCTCCACAGCAGGATCCAATTCAGGTCTCTTGCAAGGCAGTGAAGAATATTTACTCCCAACATCTGATTCATCTTGCTCTTATGCCACTGAATGCTACAGGAGGACAGACTCATTAATATATACACTTCTCTCTTTCAGCTCTGCCTTCCTCCTGGGTCAAACAGAACCCTTTTTCCTCCTTCAGTGACTCTGACCCACATTCCCACACTCATTACCAACCCATGGGGCCATCTTGAAATCCTCCCATACTCTTGAATCTTCTGCCTGTCCACACAAGATGTAACCACAGCAAGATTTGCAGAGACTTCCTTTTCTCTTGCCCCTGAAAACTCTGTTTTTCTCTTGCTTTTCATTAGGTGTTTCTCACATGCTCTTCTCCTCCAGTGACACTTTGTTCTATCTTTTGGCCAAGATGGAACTCCTTGTCTTGTCTTCCCTCACTGATCCCCTTCCTTGTTTTACAGAATTTCATCTTGTTGCTTTCAGACCAGTTTTCTAATTTTCAAGGTCTGTTTGAATTCTAACACTGTCCTTGGAAGTGCTTTCATATCCTCCCAATTTGATGTCATCTTCAAATGTTGTAAGCTTATCCAAGGCATAAATGAAAATTGAATAGTATCAGGCCTTTGAGGGACTCCACGCAATATGCCCTATCACTTCAACAGCAAGCCAATAATAACTACTCCTACAGGAGTACGAGTTTTCAACTAGTCCTGCACCCACTTTATAGTAATTTCATCTAGATCAAATTTCCCTAGTTTCTTTATAAGAATGTCATGCAAAACTGTCAAAACACTTAGTAAAGTCAAGGTGTATCATTGTTGCTGCTAGAAACCCTGTCCAAGAAGGATATTAGGTTGGTTGGGCATGATTTGCTCTTGACAGATTCATGTTGGCTATTCCTTTTTAACCCTTTTATCCTTTAGGTGCTTTACAAATTGATTGCTTAATTATTTGTTCCAGTATCTTTCCAGGTATCAAAATTAGGCTGACTGATGTATATTTCTTGGGTTTTCTTTGTCCCCCTTCTTAAAGATGGATATTGAGTTTGCCTTTCTCTAGTCCTCTGGGACTTCACCCATTTTACAGATGCTCTTGAAGGTAATCCCTAATGGCTCCAAGATTTCTTCAGTAGTTCCTTAAATACTCTAGGATGAATTTAATGAGGCCCTGCCATCTTAAATACATCTAACTTACATAAATATTCTTTAACTTGTCTTTTCCCTCTCTTGGTTTGTGTTCCTTTCTCCTTATTGTTAATATTAATAGTGTTTAAGTACATCTCCATTAACCTTTTAAATGAAGAGTGAAGCAAAATAGGCATCAAACAGCTGAGCTTTCCTGATATGGTCATTTATTAGCTTTGCTTCTCCACCAAGTGGAAGACCTTATCTGTCCTTCATATCTTCCTAATATATATATATTGTCCTAATATATTTTAAAATTGCCTCTTTTATTGTCTTCTATTTATGTCCCTTGTTGGGTGGAACTCATTTTGTGCCTTAGCTTTTCTTATTTTGTCCCTACGTGTTTGTACTGTTCTTCCCTTTGCCTGTTGAGAGGAAGTTCTCAAGAAAGCTAAATATTTCTAATATTGGGTGGGTACCAGTGTTCTCTCTAAGCAGCACAGCCCTGCAGCTGCTTAATGAGTCCCACATAGCCAGGAGCTCAGGACTCCTGCATGGAGCTGCCTGGTGGCGGGGAGGGGGAAGAAGCACTTCTCCCTTAGCAGCTGCTTCCTGTTGAGGGCAGAGCAGCAAATCTCTCCTAGTCGGTTTAATGCATGCCATGTTTTTTAATCAAAATCTGCAGTTTCAAATCTACATGTTTTATCTGCCAAACTTGAAATCTCATCAAAAAATCAGGTTAGTTTGACAGGCTCTATTTTCCATAAATCCAAGTTATTTTGCATTAATTAATACGATCCTTTAATACTTTATTAATTAAGCTCCATATTAGCCTGTCCATTATCTCTCCTGGGATCAAAGTCAAGCTGACAGGCCTATAACTGCAAGTAATCCTCTTTATTCTTTTTAAAAGTTGCTACACCATTAGCGTTTTTCCAGTCTTCTGGAACTTCCCCAATGCTCCAGGTCTTACAGAAAATCAGTGTTAGCTATCTAGCAAGCTCATTAGTCAGCTCTTTTGAAATACTTGGATGCAAATTGTCTGGAGCTGCTGATTTAAAAAGTCAAACTTTTTCCAGCTTCTCTTAATGTCCTGAGGAGATACAGGCAGTCCCCGACTTACGCGGATCCGACTTACGTCGGATCCGCACTTACGAACGGAGCTTTCTCGCCCCGGAAGTCGGGGCGAGAAAGCCCCGTTCGTAAGCTGCTCCGGTGCCCCTGGTCTGCTGGAGACCGTCTCCAGCAGACCAGGGGCACCGGGCGGGTTCCCGCGCTTCTGAGGCTTTGCTCTGGACCGTCCCCAGCAGACCACAGGCACCGCGACTGAAGCGGCAGCAGCGGGCGGGTTCCCGCGCTTCTGAGGCTTTGCCAGAGCAAAGCCTCAGAGGCGCGGCACCCCGCCGCCGCTGCTGCTCCGCTCCCCCCGTGCCC